GGCGGGGAAGCAGGGATTGGCTAGGTGGCAAGCTGCTCCTCCAATCAGCTGTTGAGCAGAAGCCGTGGACTGGGGATTTCATCAGTCTTCCAATCCCAGGGTAGCGTTCCACAGACGGGGCATGGGGAAGTTTTGCCTCACACACACAGACAAACTAAAGGCAACTGGGGCTGTAGGAGTGGTACTGTTCTGTTGATGTACAAATACGTTTTCAGGAGATATATACGCTACAGAAACATCCACAATTATACATCATTTCTCTATCCAAAAGAATACTATTTTAAACGTTGAATACGTATTTTGCAAATTCAACTTTATTTGAAATATTACCTGTTTCCTCATCAAAAATAGACCTTGAGATGCTTTTAAATAGACCCACACTAATATTAAGACTTACTGCTCCAATCTCAAACCAGCAGTATGATGATTCAAACAAAAGTATTCCACCTACATTTGTTTTAAGTGTTGTATTGTGCAGCTAGTAATGATCAAAATAAAAAAAATAAAAAAAAAATACCCTCTGGAGGTAGCCTAGGGAGTTGCATACGGATATTGTTTTTTAATCCTTGCTACGTGGCCATCAGCAATATTAAGGTGAGATAAGACTTTATTGATCTCACACTGGAGAAATGTACATGTCACATTTTGCACAGATAGAATCACTCAGATTGTGCAAAAGACATTGTGCAGGATTATTATGAACAAGAAAAAGTGGTAATAGCAGTGCAGCAGTTTTTTCAGTCCTAGTGCATTAGTAAATTAAAGATGCAGTCAGTGATTTCTTTCCAGACGCACTTTTTAAAATATTGTGGGAAAACATCCCTAAACCCTAAAAGTAGTCAAGCTATCATGTGTTTTCAAATAGTAATGGAATTGACCAGATGCCTATAGTCTACAAAAATAAATAACAAATATTTGGAGCGGACCGAACCAAAAAAATTAAACCAATGGGATTCGTTCATCCCCAACGAACCAATGGGATGCGTTTACCCCCTTCACCTTCTTCCTGTCATTGGATTTTCTAAAACCTAAAATGGCTGAACAGAAAATGCCAATTTCACATTTGCCACCCACTCTCCCTGTTGTGACAAAGAAAACAAAATGCTGGATGTTTGGTTTGGTGGAGAGACGAGGGGAGGGGGAGTGGTTTGAGTTGGTGCTACGGCTAAGCTAACATAATCGCTTACTGCACCTTTAAAGTGACTTATTATACTTAATAATGGCCAAATTTAATGTATACTAATAATGATTACATTTTAGAGATTCAACAGTATACTTAAACATGATTTTTGTCCACATCTTTCACACGCTGCAGTTTTAATTACCTCCAACATTCACACCCACGTGAAAGCGCACATCTGTTTTGTCCTATACCGTGGCGTCTGTGGCGTCGCCTCAGTGCAGGACAAGGACAGCGCGGTTAAGAACCCATTTGTCAAATTTCATCGTAGTTGACCTTCAGTTGGGAACGCCACTGACAACGCATTCACACCAGCGTTAATATGCGCAGGAGGGGCTATGGCATTTATATATATTAATACATATACATACAAGCATGCTTAAAACCGCCCACACAACACCGCTGTCTGAGGCCACCACGTGCATCATGGGAGACGGCGGTAATCCATCATCCCAGCTGCAGTGTGTAAACTGCCCTCGTCACTGCTGGGACAAGATCTTTGCTGTCAGCGGTGAAGAACAGACGGACTCCTTTCTAATAAAGAGTTTATTTAAGTGCTTGTTTTGGGACGGCCGTGGGCATAGGGTGGATATTGAGGCCTGTTACTTCCAATGGACTTGAATAATCGGTGTGTTCTAGTTGTAGAGTTGTGTAGTTGCTGTCTGTACACGTGATAACAATGAATTTAATGATGAGTTTAAAGAAAGAAAAAAGCAAATAAATGCCTTCCCGAAACATCTTTTTGAGTTTAAAGGTAATTGGCTATGTAGTAATTTGCAACCATGAAACATTTGATTTCAATTCAGAAAGAAGACATAATGTAAACGAAACAGTAACAGTAGAATGTTGTGTTCGGTCTTACTCTGAGGTGCTGTTTAGCTTTTTGTCCTGGATGTGCATTCTCTGTCCTCAATCTATAATCTCAGTCCTGAATCTACAGCCTCAGTCCTGAATCTACAGCCTCAGTCCTGAATCTACAGCCTCAGTCCTGGATCTACAGCCTCAGTCCTGGATCTACAGCCTCAGTCCTGGATCTACAACCTCAGTCCTGAATCTACAGCCTCAGTCCTGGATCTACAGCCTCAGTCCTGGATCTACAGCCTCAGTCCTGGATCTACAGCCTCAGTCCTGGATCTACAGCCTCAGTCCTGGATCTACAGCCTCAGTCCTGGATCAATAGCCTCAGTCCTGGATCTACAGCCTCAGTCTTGGATCTACAGCCTCAGTCCTGGATCTACAGCCTCAGTCCTGGATCTACAGCCTCAGTCCTGGATCTACAGCCTCAGTCCTGGATCTACAGCCTCAGTCCTGGATCTACAGCCTCAGTCCTGGATCAATAGCCTCAGTCCTGGATCTACAGCCTCAGTCCTGGATCTACAGCCTCAGTCCTGGATCTACAGCCTCAGTCCTGAATCTACAGCCTCAGTCCTGGATCTACAGCCTCAGTCCTGGATCTACAGCCTCAGTCCTGGATCTATAGCCTCAGTCCTGGATCTACAGCCTCAGTCCTGGATCTATAGCCTCAGTCCTGGATCTACAGCCTCAGTCCTGGATCTATAGCCTCAGTCCTGGATCTACAGCCTCAGTCCTGGATCTACAGCCTCAGTCCTGGATCTATAGCCTCAGTCCTGGATCTACAGCCTCAGTCCAGGATCTACAGCCTCAGTCCTGAATCTACAGCCTCAGTCCTGAATCTACAGCCTCAGTCCTGGATCTACAGCCTCAGTCTTGGATCTACAGCCTCAGTCCTGGATCTACAGCCTCAGTCCTGGATCTACAGCCTCAGTCCTGGATCTACAGCCTCAGTCCTGGATCTACAGCCTCAGTCCTGGATCAATAGCCTCAGTCCTGGATCTACAGCCTCAGTCCTGGATCTACAGCCTCAGTCCTGGATCTACAGCCTCAGTCCTTGATCTACAGCCTCAGTCCTGGATCTATAGCCTCAGTCCTGGATCTACAGCCTCAGTCCTGGATCTATAGCCTCAGTCCTGGATCTACAGCCTCAGTCCTGGATCTATAGCCTCAGTCCTGGATCTACAGCCTCAGTCCTGGATCTACAGCCTCAGTCCTGGATCTACAGCCTCAGTCCTGGATCTACAGCCTCAGTCCTGGATCTACAGCCTCAGTCCTGGATCTATAGCCTCAGTCCTGGATCTACAGCCTCAGTCCTGGATCTATAGCCTCAGTCCTGGATCTACAGCCCTAGCCCTGGACGTATGACCTCAGTCCTAGATCTATGACCTCAGTCCTAGATCTATGGCTTCAGTCTATGATCTATGGCTTCAGTCCAGGATCTACAGCCTCAGTCCTGGATCTGTAGCCTCGGTCCTGGATCACAGCCTTAGCCCTGGATCTACAGCCTCGGCCCTGGATCACAACCTTAGCCCTGGACGTATGACCTCAGTCCTAGATCTATGACCTCAGTCTTGGATCTCAGTCCTGGATCTACAGCCTCAGTCCTGGATCTACAGCCTCAGTCCTGGATCTACAGCCTCAGTCCGGATCTACAGCCTCAGTCCTGAATCTACAGTCAGTCCTGTACAGCCTCAGTCCTGGATCTACAGCCTCAGTCCTGGATCTACAGCCTCAGTCCTGGATCTACAGCCTCAGTCCTGGATCTACAGCCTCAGTCCTGTAATTATGTTCTTGTATATTTTCATTGGAAATGCCCCAAATCTCTCTTACAGTCTGTAATAATCTTTCATTTTCCTTTCAGTCTTGTTTTTAGTTTTACACAACAACACCACTCCATATTTCAGTGCAGCAGCTAAAGCAACCCCCCCACGTCCACACAGCTACACTCTCAAACCAGCGTCACACAAGCCCGGACATGTTGCACACACAGCTGTATGGCGGTTGCGGTGCCAGGGAGGCATGCTATACGTGGCTTTAGTTGGATGGATCAAAGATGTAACTTGGACGCTCTAAACTTCTGCTGTCAGAGCTGGAATCAGACGAGCCGTGTGAGAGCCAGAGTTTCTGTCACTTAGATTGAGCTGTAGGGCTCACTGGACCTGTCCCAACTCCGGGTTATTCCAGGAGACACACACTGAAGTCTGCATCAGGGTACCGCACCTTTAGACCACTCTCACTCCCACAGCAACACACAGGTAACACACTCATCTTTTCATTCTGAACAAGTACGGTGATTTCATTTACAAAATATTCTTTCTCATTGTGATTATTTTTTATTAATTTCATAAAACAGAACACAAACCTATCACACATTTACAAGTCCAGGACACACAGAGCACCAAATGACACACACAATCGGTGTAACTCAAACAAAAATAACACATAATTAAATATTTACTTAGATCTGTCCACAGCTCTGCCCTTCATGTCGATGGTCCTCTCCTCGGCATTTTGCGTGCTGTGGTTACTTCCAAACAGGCAATGTCAATAATCAAAATTAAAAGTCATAATCCACCGTCGGCGAGACAGCAAGCTGTAAGAGAGAGGGGGCTTTGACTCTCTGGCAACCGTGTTTTTGGCGGCCCGTAAGCTCCGCCAAAAGAACCATTTGTCCTTCAGAAGAAACATCAAGAGAGAGCAGCGAACCAGGCCAAATAGGAGGGCAGACGGACCCCCAACCACAACCTAACCAGGCCCAATAGGAGGGCAGACGGACCCCCAACCACAACCTAACCAGGCCCAATAGGAGGGCAGACGGACCCCCAACCACAACCTAACCAGGCCAAATAGGAGGGCAGACGGACCCCCAACCACAACCTAACCAGGCCCAATAGGAGGGCAGACGGACCCCCAACCACAACCTAACCAGGCCCAATAGGACGGCAGACGGACCCCCAACCACAACCTAACCAGGCCCAATAGGAGGGCAGACGGACCCCCAACCACAACCTAACCAGGCCCAATAGGAGGGCAGACGGACCCCCAGCCACAACCTAACCAGGCCCAATAGGAGGGGCAGACGGACCCTCAGCCACAACCTAACCAGGCCAAATAGGAGGGCAGACGGACCCCCAACCACAACCTAACCAGGCCAAATAGGACGGCAGACGGACCCCCAGCCACAACCTAACCAGGCCAAATAGGAGGGCAGACGGACCCCCAACCACAACCTAACCAGGCCCAATAGGAGGGCAGACGGACCCCCAACCACAACCTAACCAGGCCCAATAGGAGGGCAGACGGACCCCCAGCCACAACCAACCAGGCCAAATAGGAGGGCAGACGGACCCCCAACCACAACCTAACCAGGCCAAATAGGAGGGCAGACGGACCCCCAACCACAACCTAACCAGGCCCAATAGGAGGGCAGACGGACCCCCAACCACAACCTAACCAGGCCCAATAGGACGGCAGACGGACCCCCAGCCACAACCTAACCAGGCCAAATAGGAGGGCAGACGGACCCCCAACCACAACCTAACAAGGCCCAATAGGAGAGCAGACGGACCCCCAACCACAACCTAACCAGGCCCAATAGGACGGCAGACGGACCCCCAACCACAACCTAACCAGGCCCAATAGGAGGGCAGACGGACCCCCAACCACAACCTAACCAGGCCCAATAGGACGGCAGACGGACCCCCAGCCACAACCTAACCAGGCCCAATAGGAGGGCAGACGGACCCCCAACCACAACCTAACCAGGCCCAATAGGAGGGCAGACGGACCCCCAACCACAACCTAACCAGGCCCAATAGGACGGCAGACGGACCCCCAGCCACAACCTAACCAGGCCAAATAGGAGGGCAGACGGACCCCCAACCACAACCTAACCAGGCCCAATAGGAGGGCAGACGGACCCCCAACCACAACCTAACCAGGCCCAATAGGACGGCAGACGGACCCCCAACCACAACCTAACCAGGCCCAATAGGAGGGCAGACGGACCCCCAACCACAACCTAACCAGGCCCAATAGGAGGGCAGACGGACCCCCAGCCACAACCTAACCAGGCCCAATAGGACGGCAGACGGACCCCCAACCACAACCTAACCAGGCCCAATAGGAGGGCAGACGGACCCCCAACCACAACCTAACCAGGCCCAATAGGACGGCAGACGGACCCCCAGCCACAACCTAACCAGGCCCAATAGGACGGCAGACGGACCCCCAACCACAACCTAACCAGGCCCTATAGGAGGGCAGACGGACCCCCAGCCACAACCTAACCAGGCCAAATAGGAGGGCAGACGGACCCCCAACCACAACCTAACCAGGCCCAATAGGAGGGCAGACGGACCCCCAACCACAACCTAACCAGGCCCAATAGGACGGCAGACGGACCCCCAACCACAACCTAACCAGGCCCAATAGGAGGGCATACGGACCCCCAACCACAACCTAACCAGGCCCAATAGGAGGGCAGACGGACCCCCAGCCACAACCTAACCAGGCCCAATAGGAGGGCAGACGGACCCCCAACCACAACCTAACCAGGCTAAATAGGAGGGCAGACGGACCCCCAACCACAACCTAACCAGGCCCAATAGGAGGGCAGACGGACCCCCAACCACAACCTAACCAGGCCCAATAGGAGGGCAGATGGACCCCCAACCACAACCTAACCAGGCCCAATAGGACGGCAGACGGACCCCCAGCCACAACCTAACCAGGCCAAATAGGAGGGCAGACGGACCCCCAACCACAACCTAACCAGGCCCAATAGGAGGGCAGACGGACCCCCAACCACAACCTAACCAGGCCCAATAGGACGGCAGACGGACCCCCAACCACAACCTAACCAGGCCCAATAGGAGGGCAGACGGACCCCCAACCACAACCTAACCAGGCCCAATAGGAGGGCAGACGGACCCCCAGCCACAACCTAACCAGGCCCAATAGGACGGCAGACGGACCCCCAACCACAACCTAACCAGGCCCAATAGGAGGGCAGACGGACCCCCAACCACAACCTAACCAGGCCCAATAGGACGGCAGACGGACCCCCAGCCACAACCTAACCAGGCCCAATAGGACGGCAGACGGACCCCCAACCACAACCTAACCAGGCCCTATAGGAGGGCAGACGGACCCCCAGCCACAACCTAACCAGGCCAAATAGGAGGGCAGACGGACCCCCAACCACAACCTAACCAGGCCCAATAGGAGGGCAGACGGACCCCCAACCACAACCTAACCAGGCCCAATAGGACGGCAGACGGACCCCCAACCACAACCTAACCAGGCCCAATAGGAGGGCAGACGGACCCCCAGCCACAACCTAACCAGGCCCAATAGGAGGGCAGACGGACCCCCAACCACAACCTAACCAGGCCAAATAGGAGGGCAGACGGACCCCCAACCACAACCTAACCAGGCCCAATAGGACGGCAGACGGACCCCCAGCCACAACCTAACCAGGCCAAATAGGAGGGCAGACGGACCCCCAACCACAACCTAACCAGGCCAAATAGGAGGGCAGACGGACCCCCAACCACAACCTAACCAGGCCCAATAGGAGGGCAGACGGACCCCCAACCACAACCTAACCAGGCCAAATAGGAGGGCAGACGGACCCCCAACCACAACCTAACCAGGCCAAATAGGAGGGCAGACGGACCCCCAACCACAACTTAACCAGGCCCAATAGGAGGGCAGACGGACCCCCAACCACAACCTAACCAGGCCCAATAGGACGGCAGACGGACCCCCAGCCACAACCTAACCAGGCCAAATAGGAGGGCAGACGGACCCCCAACCACAACCTAACCAGGCCCAATAGGAGGGCAGACGGACCCCCAACCACAACCTAACCAGGCCCAATAGGAGGGCAGACGGACCCCCAACCACAACCTAACCAGGCCCAATAGGAGGGCAGACGGACCCCCAACCACAACCTAACCAGGCCCAATAGGACGGCAGACGGACCCCCAGCCACAACCTAACCAGGCCAAATAGGAGGGCAGACGGACCCCCAACCACAACCTAACCAGGCCAAATAGGAGGGCAGACGGACCCCCAACCACAACCTAACCAGGCCCAATAGGAGGGCAGACGGACCCCCAACCACAACCTAACCAGGCCCAATAGGACGGCAGACGGACCCCCAGCCACAACCTAACCAGGCCAAATAGGAGGGCAGACGGACCCCCAACCACAACCTAACCAGGCCAAATAGGAGGGCAGACGGACCCCCAACCACAACTTAACCAGGCCCAATAGGAGGGCAGACGGACCCCCAACCACAACCTAACCAGGCCCAATAGGACGGCAGACGGACCCCCAGCCACAACCTAACCAGGCCAAATAGGAGGGCAGACGGACCCCCAACCACAACCTAACCAGGCCCAATAGGACGGCAGACGGACCCCCAGCCACAACCTAACCAGGCCCAATAGGAGGGCAGACGGACCCCCAACCACAACCTAACCAGGCCCAATAGGACGGCAGACGGACCCCCAGCCACAACCTAACCAGGCCAAATAGGAGGGCAGACGGACCCCCAACCACAACCTAACAAGGCCCAATAGGAGGGCAGACGGACCCCCAACCACAACCTAACCAGGCCCAATAGGACGGCAGACGGACCCCCAACCACAACCTAACCAGGCCCAATAGGAGGGCAGACGGACCCCCAACCACAACCTAACCAGGCCCAATAGGACGGCAGACGGACCCCCAGCCACAACCTAACCAGGCCCAATAGGAGGGCAGACGGACCCCCAACCACAACCTAACCAGGCCCAATAGGAGGGCAGACGGACCCCCAACCACAACCTAACCAATAGAACTGCCGTCCTATTGGGCCTACCTTTCAAGTCATACAAAAAATCCATGGATTGTGTGTTAAATAAATCCTATGTAAAAAAAATATGTATTAGATTTGTACGTCTGGTTGTCTGATGGGTTGAATAAGGCCTGATGACATAAGCAGAATATTATACCGCATGTCTCTGTGCAAAGAGATTAAACAGAACGTGTTATCTTTATCCTTGTCCTTTTGCATGTCTGGCCTTCCCCAAACTGTTCCTCCGTGGTTTTGTGTCAAAATTATTAATGTTGTCTCACAATTTCAGCCTTGACCAACTAGTTACTCCCACTTGATATTCTGGCCGGTTTCCCCTACTTCTCCCCCTGAGGATCCCATTCCTCAGCCTCCAACGTTTACACTTTTGTTGTCTACTTTTTACTCAACCCAACACAAAATCTTAAAAAAGTTAGACTTGTACAACAGAGTATTTGCAGGATTGTATAATTTTGAGGTGTTGAGGAATGTGAAGTGGTTTGATTTGATGTTATTAAATGACACCAGTTTTGTTTTGTTAAAGGAGCAGTATGTAAAAAATCTGGCCAAAAGTAGAACTGCAGCCTCTCCCACTCTCCCTGACTCAGGTTGCCAGATATAAAGAGTTTTTTCAACAACAAATCTATAACCAACACCTATTTGACAAAGGCCCCGATAGAAATCCATATTTTATTTTATATCTGTCATTAAGACCTTATTAGTTCTGCGTTCACGTGGTACTTTACCAGTGAGATTAGCTCAATGCAGTGGGTTCTGGCAACCTGGAATCACGGACTCTCTTATTGGTGAAACAGTGGACATCGAAATGAAAACAATAACAAGATTAAGGTTAAATAAGTATTTGAAAAGAGCAGTTTTTATGAATGTCTTGAGTTGTCTTGTGGTATCATTGCACTCTAAGTTCAGTAAGTAGAATGTCAATGTTTAGATACAGATTCAACCTATACACTTTAGAACCCCTCTGGAAGCAATTATTTAGGGCCATCAAATATTAATCATGTTTCCCATCTGCACAGCTCATTCTACAACGGTTCAAAGATACTTTCTGAGTTGAAGGCAGGTCACTAGTCTGAGAGTGTCTGCTAGAGTCTTATGGTGACAGCAGCAGCAGCAGCAGCAGCGCCTCCCCATCCCGGGCCTCCTAAGCACACTAACATGCAACAAATACAGCCCTGACTCTTGTAGTCAAACATTTACCCTTGGAGAGCTCCAAGCCCAGTGTCACCTTCCAGACACTTTGCTTATCCATGTTTTTTACACAAATCTTGTTTTCATCTCACATCTGCACTCAAAAACCTAGATTGGTTAATATTTAAAGTCTGTTACAGGTTATGACAATCTGCATTTTTTATTGTTTGTATGGATTTAAACAACAACCTTCTCAGTTCTATATATATTTATTGTTATAAGTTGCGAACAAAAAGCCATGACCAAGTTATAACAGGTAAAGTAATAGACTTATGTGAGGATTGCCATGTTTTACTACACACAAACTCATAACGCATTTTTGCCATACATGAAAAAAACCATGACAGTCCAGTCTCCGGGTCACCTTTCCAGACACTTTGCATGTACATGTTTTTACACAAATCTTGTTTTCATCTCACATCTGCACTCAAAGACCTACATCGGTTAATATTTAAAGTCTTGTCCCTAAAAGACCGAGCGGCGATCCCTGTTGTGTTGTTCCCACACACTCCCGACACACACACGCAAACACACAGGCCTCCCCTTTCCCCCACATCCATCCATTCATCCATTTTCTACCCTTTAATCCATTTCTGGGTCAGGGGGGTGGCAGTCAGAGATGCCACCCAAGTCTCATAGCACCAGCCCCTCACTGACCCTCTGCAGGTGGTGAGTCCACAGGAGGACGGCTGCTCTCTGACTGTGAGCATAGCCTTGATCTTTCAGTGGGGGCTTTGGGCAAAGTGGGGTTAAGTGGGGTTAAGTGTCTTGCCCAAGGACACAACGACAGCAGTCATCAGTGGGAGTCGGTGGAGAAGGTGCAGAGGTGGGAAATGAACCCACGACCTTCTGGGCTTAAGGCCAATGCTCTACCAACTGAGCTACTGTCGCCCCTCCCCCACATCCATGAATGATTTAACCATTGCATGTCAAGGAGCTTATTTGCCAACCCAGGAGTGTCTTAAAAAAAAACAAAAAAGCCTTCTCATTTTTATTTAACCAGAGCGGCTTACTGAATGTTTAAAATATTCAAATCCAGTCAGCGCTCATTGCATAACAGTGAGCACGCAGCGCACGGACACACGCAGAGATGGAAGTTGGGGAAAGTTAAGACTGTTTATGCCGCTCAAAACAATGGTGTTTTGGAAAGGCACATGTGACGTCTGTCCTTTGACCGCCTCAATCAGACGCTGCTTAGAGAGGATACTTTCTTTTCTCGGATAGATAAACACATTTTCTAACTTTCCACCCACCATGTCAATCCGTTGGTTGCATCAATTGTGAGAAGAACAGCGTGTACTTACATGTAAAGCCTCCGATGACTCTGCTGCCATTGCCAATATTCTCTGCCAACACACTAACAGCACGCACACACACGCGCACACACACACACACACGCACACACACACACACTGCATTTCTTACAGTTGTTGTAAGATAGTTCAAAAGTGTAAAAAGTCTGAACAAATGCATAGTTAATTTGCAAGAACAGATAAGTGCCATTATAAAAACAATATTTGAAAGGCTTATAATCTTCTAAGATAAGATCATAATAATAATAATAATGCATCAGTTTTATACAGTGCTTTTCTGGACACTCAAAGACGCTTCACACATTATTCATTCACTCCATACTACTGTAGCCACAGCTGCCCTGGGGCACACCGACAGAAGCGAGGCAACCAGTATATGCCATCGGCCTCTCCAACCACCACCAACCATTCACACACACAACTCATTCTAGGCAATGGGAGTGAAGTGTCTTGCCCAAGGACACAACGGCAGTTTGGTACTTTACAGCCTAGAGGTTAAGTGTCTTGCCAAGGACACAACGACAGCAGACAGAGGGAGTCTTGAGGTGGGCTCGGACCCAACTCAGACACAGGGAGAACATGCAAACTCCACTCAGAGAGGCGCTTTTCCGACCAGGATTTGAACCCAGGACCTTCTTAATGACAAGCGAGAGTTCTATCTACATAGCCACCGTGCCGCCCCTTCACTGGCCTCCTGGTTGAAATCTCAAGTTTATTTCAGAGTTATTCACAGGCAGTTAGACGGCGACGGAAATGTGTTGAAATGATGACTGTTGTGTGTGATAGTTGTGTGTGATGTGTGTGTGATAGTTGTGTGATGGTTGTGTGTGATAGTTGTGTGTGATGTGTGTGTGATGGTTGTGTGTGATAGTTGTGTGTGATGTGTGTGTGATGGTTGTGTGTGATATTTGTGTGTGATAGTTGTGTGTGATAGTTGTGTGTGATGTGTGTGTGATAGTTGTGTGTGATCATTGTGTGTGATAGTTGTGTGTGATAGTTGTGTGTGATAGTTGTGTGTGATAGTTGTGTGTGATAGTTGTGTGTGATAGTTGTGTGTGATGTTGTGTGTGATAGTTGTGTGTGATGGTTGTGTGTGATAGTTGTGTGTGATAGTTGTGTGATCGTTGTGTGTGATAGTTGTGTGTGATAGTTGTGTGATCGTTGTGTGTGATAGTTGTGTGTGATGTGTGTGTGATAGTTGTGTGTGATAGTTGTGTGTGATGGTTGTGTGTGATGTGTGTGATAGTTGTGTGTGATGGTTGTGTGTGATATTTGTGTGTGATAGTTGTGTGATAGTTGTGTGTGATAGTTGTGTGTGATAGTTGTGTGATAGTTGTGTGTGATAGTTGTGTGTGATAGTTGTGTGATAGTTGTGTGTGATAGTTGTGTGTGATGGTTGTGTGTGATAGTTGTGTGATAGTTGTGTGTGATAGTTGTGTGTGATAGTTGTGTGTGATGGTTGTGTGTGATAGTTGTGTGTGATGTGTGTGTGATGGTTGTGTGTGATAGTTGTGTGTGATGTGTGTGTGATAGTTGTGTGTGTGATGTGTGTGTGATAGTTGTGTGTGATAGTTGTGTGTTATGTGTGTGTGATAGTTGTGTGTGATAGTTGTGTGTGATGGTTGTGTGTGATAGTTGTGTGTGATGGTTGTGTGTGATAGTTGTGTGTGATGGTTGTGTGTGATAGTTGTGTGTGATGGCTGTGTGTGATGGTTGTGTGTGATAGTTGTGTGTGATAGTTGTGTGTGATAGTTGTGTGTGATGGTTGTGTGTGATGGTTGTGTGTGAGGGTTGTGTGTGATAGTTGTGTGTGATGGTTGTGTGTGATAGTTGTGTGTGATGGTTGTGTGTGATAGTTGTGTGTGATGGTTGTGTGTGACAGTCGTGTGTGATAGTTGTGTGTGATAGTTGTGTGATCGTTGTGTGTGATAGTTGTGTGTGATGGTTGTGTGTGATAGTTGTGTGTGATAGTTGTGTGTGATAGTTGTGTGATGGTTGGCTGTGATAGTTGTGTGTGATAGTTGTGTGTGATAGTTGTGTGTGATGTGTGTGTGATCATTGTGTGTGATAGTTGTGTGTGATAGTTGTGTGTGATAGTTGTGTGATGGTTGGCTGTGATAGTTGTGTGTGATAGTTGTGTGTGATGTGTGTGTGATCATTGTGTGTAATAGTTGTGTGTGATAGTTGTGTGTGATAGTTGTGTGTGATGGTTGTGTGTGATAGTTGTGTGTGATAGTTGTGTGATGTTTGTGTGTGATAGTTGTGTGTGATAGTTGTGTGTGATGGTTGTGTGTGATAGTTGTGTGTGATGGTTGTGTGTGATAGTTGTGTGTGATAGTTGTGTGTGATAGTTGTGTGTGATAGTTGTGTGTGATGGTTGTGTGTGATAGTTGTGAGTGATAGTTGTGTGTGATAGTTGTGTGTGATGGTTGTGTGTGATAGTTGTGTGTGATAGTTGTGTGTGATAGTTGTGTGTGATATTTTTGTGTGATGGTTGTGTGTGATAGTTGTGTGTGATGTGTGTGTGATAGTTGTGTGTGATGGTTGTGTGTGATGGTTGTGTGTGATAGTTGTGTGTGATAGTTGTGTGATGGTTGTGTGTGATAGTTGTGTGTGATGTGTGTGTGATAGTTGTGTGTGATAGTTGTGTGTGATGGTTGTGTGTGATAGTTGTGTGTGATGGTTGTGTGTGATGGTTGTGTGTGATGGTTGTGTGTGATGGTTGTGTGTGATAGTTGTGTGTGATAGTTGTGTGTGATAGTTGTGTGTGATGGTTGTGTGTGATGGTTGTGTGTGATAGTTGTGTGTGATAGTTGTGTGTGATAGTTGTGTGTGATAGTT